TGATGTTGTTTGGGAATATTATACTTTAGACCATTAACTACATATATTGATGAACACTGCAAACAGGTACACAAGTGGGATGTTTAGTCTGGTTATAATTACTTTAAATGATGGGACACTAAATAGACACACTGTATGCTGAAATTGAAAATGTTTTCCTGATGATATACAGTCATGGCTTATTATGTTCCAATGGTAACATTTTCAAATTTAAATATAGTGTTAGAATTTTCCTTCTATTCTCTACTTATACAGTCATTTGTAAAAGATAACGTTAAAAAAAAGTAATAGCAAAATTTTAAATGTAAAAAGAATGAGAGATTGTTTGCTGATAGATAGTCAAGCTTTTATAATAATCCCGTATAACATTTAATAAAGTGTAAACCCACCCACAAACAGTAAAAATATGTTCTGGTTGTTGGAGCTGATTAGTGAGGTAGATAATCGTCAATGTAGCACTGGACTGTGGGGCAGAGGTAAGACAAGATTGCTTTCCTGTGAGATAGTTCAGGAGGTAACCCCTGTTTGGGATTAAAAAGTTCTTGAGGAGAATTCTCTGATTACTTCCATCCATGGAGATACATCTGACTATATAGGGAGTGAAGGAATTTAGGCTAATTTGTGAAAACCAGCAAGCAAAACAAACCAACCTGCCTTCCTCCCTCACCCCCATTCACTGTTATTTTCTCAAAAGAATGTAAGCTCCACGAAGGCATAGATCCATCTAGCTGCTCTATTCATGATGCCTAGACGATCCTGGGTACAATCAATATTTGAATAGGCCCTTTTCTGAGAAAGATATAAATATGTTCTGTGAATATGTTACTGTATTTTTGTTCTGTGTTCATGCGCAAGGGGTTAAGCCGCAATCTATGAAGCTGTCCACAGCTACTGCAGCACGAGTTCGATCCCAGGCGAGGGAGCTACCCACATGGCGCAGCAGACCTCTCCTGCCTCACCCGCTGCTCCCCTCAGCAGTGTATTTCAGTTGATCTGCCTGCTCTGTTCCCCACTCTGTCTCTGTTGAATCCTCTCACCCCCGCCCCTGACTTATACCCCATAAATAAATAAATCTTAAAAAAAAAAATAAAATCAAGTTTTGCTCTGGAGACAATTTTGTAAAAGACAAATTCAAAACACCAACTCCTGGAGATACAGCATGGAACAGAAATGGGCTTAGGGCTGCTTCCAGCCACTTCTTTCAAAGAAAGCATCATTATCAACTACATGTTGGACAGTGAGCATGTCTCTTCTTCATAGGTCAGTCTCATATACAAAATGAGAAAGTCTCTAACTAGGAAGCATATCAAAGTAAGAAAACTTTTACAGACACCCAGCTCCTTGTGTGGGAGATAGTCTGTTACTACATCTATATGATCTTACTTTAATTAAAAATCTTTGAGTAAGAAGTATCTCTTTAAAGATCAAATTTTAATCTGTTTTATACTCCCCCCAAATTAAATTAAAAATAAATCCTAATAAGTAACAGAAGGTAGTTATAATGTAATGCTTATAAACTTGGTTCTCTGAGTTAGAATTTTAGGTTCCACCGCTTAAATTAGGCAAGTCACTAAATCCCTCAGTGCCCCAGCTTCCACTAAGGATAATATGTTAACCTTACAAAAAAGGCAAGAGAGGGAAATAATACATTTAGCACAGGGCTTGGCCAAATCAGTGCACAGCAAATGTTATTTTTAAACTATTTCCTTTTCTCCTTTTGCCCTCTTCAACTTCAATATATGGAGAGCTGCATGTGTATACATATGTCATTTATATGTATATTTTATAATACATATTACCACCAAAGTACCAATACCCCTTCACCCTAGTCCATTGGACCCCCTCCACTCTGCTTCCCACACTTCCAATCTCAGTTCTGCAGTCGGAATATAAGAGTTTGTTTTTGTCTGTTCTTTTTCTTTCTTTTTCATTTTTTTAAAGATTTATTTATTTATGCATATAAGAACAGGAGTGCAGGCCAGAGATATAGAGAGTGAGAGGATTCACCAGAGACAGAGTGGGAAACAGAACAGGAAGATCTACTGAAATACACTGCTGAGGGGAGCAACAGGCCAGGTAGGAGAGGTCTGCTGTGCCATGTGGGTCACTCCCTGGGCAGGGATCCAACCAATAGTTTGATGGTGCTGAGATTTAACCCCTTGCGCCACCAGGGAGGCCCCCTCCTTTGTTTCTTTATAGCCTGTGAGTAAAATAAGTATTTGTCTTTCTCCTGACTTATTTTGCTTAGCATAACCTCCATTAATGCTATGGAAAATTTCAAGATTTTATCCTTTTTTCATAGCTGAACAGTGGAATATGTATTCTTCATTTCAGAGTCAGAGGGATGGAGTTATCTGGTGATAGAAATGATATTGAAACCTGAGATTCCTGAATTGGGATAGCATTCTTTGTACTTTTCTTCCACTAAATATTATTTAAGTACTACTAATAATATTCTCAATATCATGAAATATTCCATAAGCTTGTAGTTCTCAGAAAATTATGTCACAATAATGTGGTTTATTTTTCCTGATTGCTGATCTCTCCATATATTAGGAAGTTTATTCACTTAGTCTGTTGGACTTACATGAAAACGCAGAGACCATCTAAGTATTAAGTCAGAAGAATGTTTTATAAAATATGAAAATTCTTCACATTGTACATTTAAAAATTTCAATATTGATTTTATTAGTATATAATTTAATATGGAATCCCTGAGCAAAGGTTCATGCTCCATTTTGTGCCCCTTCACAGACTCACTGTAAGAACTTGGGCAAGTCATTTGACCTTCTTACATTTCAGTGTGTCAAACTAGCTGTAAAACTGAGTAAAGCTTGACCTTGTTATAAACCCAATAGACTTGAAAGCTAAGATGTGCTTTGATATATGAATTACCAAAAGAAAATGCTAGCTATTATGTATGAAGAATCAGAATAATTAATTTTATTATACAAATAAAATGACTCTGGGATGTACAGTTTTTAGCAAGTCAAGTGATGAAAAGTTTCAAAGTATTTTATTTGGGTAAAACAGGTTATGTAACAGAGGAGTATGAATTTGGGGGATGCCTACTTTTCAAAATCATAGGTTGTAACAACTTAACCAAAATAATTATAAGAAATGGAAAACTGTTAGATGCTAATGAATCGTTAATACACACATTTCATTACTAGACCATTCTTTCTCCCTACCTACATAAATGTATGCCTTGTTTTAAAATGAATTTACTCTATGGAAAGCTTGACAAAAGAATACAAAGTGCTTTAGGAAGGGAGCAGTTTTAATGATGTGTTTGACCATTTAGACTTGTAATTTACTGGATTATTGCATAGTTTACCAATTGACTTTGCATTGGTCTCTTTTCCTGTTTTTCTTTTTAATTTTTTTTTATTTCCACCATCACTATTCATACTCCCCCCCCACACACACACACCCACCCCACCCCACCCCTTCTTCCCTCTCAGGTTTTCTCCATGAGCACAGGACCATGATGACTGGTAGATTTGTGAAATGAATGATGTATTTCTCATCTGCAGAGGGAAGGCAGCACCATTCCCTGGCTTGCTGCTGCAGCCTCTCTTTTAAATTGAACAGTAAGTCCCCCCTTCCTGCAGCATTCCAGAAGGAACATTATTAATTAAGAACAGCTCCACAGATGCTTGTCTGATGTTACCCCAGCAGTTCTGGGGCATCTGCAGTGTGCCTGCCCATTTTCCATTCTTTTGAAACATCTCTTTGCAGACTTTGTTAAAGCCAGAAACACATATAACCAAGCAAAACCCTTTCTAGCAGAGCTTGTCAATGACACTTTGCCACATTCTCTGAAAAAGTGAGAAATAACAAGCCAATGTTGCCCAGGCCCTATAAACAAAAGATCAAATTCTGTATTCAGCTTTGGCAGGAAAAAAACTGCAGCGTTTTATCAGGAATATTTTTTTTAAACAAGTTTTGGGGCTTCCAATGAATAACCAAAAGTGTCCTTTTTCTGTATTACAGAAAATGGGAAACAGTACATTTAAAGATTAAAATACCTTTTAAAAAGGAATATAATCAGGATCGTAGGTTAAACTAGCACCATATAGACTCAATTAGCTGGGTGTTTTCCGCTGCTCTCTAGGGGTTTCTAAGTGTCTTCTCCCTGCTTTGTGTCTCTGATCTATCTCAGGACCAGGAACATTAAGGGGAAAAAAGCCAAAGCCTGGGTAGCAGGGTGAATAGTATTTTCCATAGAATAAAGAGAATAAAGCAGTAGGGGAGATTATATTATTCACGCGTATCAAAAATATTCAGTGGAAACATATAAACATTAAAAATAAGACTGGCAAAACATTTGCGCATGCCACAGATTTACCAATTAAGCATAAATACTTTGTCTCTGATTATTGCTTCACATTTCTTCCAGAGAAAACTGCCCCTTCCAGATCCTTCTCCTTGGCAGCTCAAGGTGTGCGGTTAATTCCTCGGCCCCAGCTCCCAGCGACCCCCCCATTTCCTCCCCGGCCCGGCCCGGCCCGGGCCCTGCACCTCCGGCAGCTCCCCGAGCAGCAGGCGGTCTGCGGGGGACCCCAGGGTTGGGGGCCAGCGAGACCCGGCCGCCCCAGAGGAGGGGTGAGAGACGGGGGGAGGGTCCCACAGGTGCAGTGTAGCGGAGGGGGGGGCGGGCTAAGGGCTTCTGGAACCTACGTCCGCCCCAGGTCCGCGCTCTGCCGCCCTCCCGCCCTCGCCCCGGCCCCGCACGGGCGCCTCCCGAGCTCCCCGCCGCGCCTGCCCCGCGGCCCCGCGCCTCTCCCAACCCGGGGCACCGGGTCTGCGGCCCCGGCCGGCGGCGGCGGCGGGAGGCCGGGCGCGCCGGGGGGCGGGGCCACGCGCGCTAGGCCCGGCCCGCCTCGCAGGGGCGCTCGCGGCGAGGCGGCCGGGCGCGGCGGAGGGATACGGCGCGCCGTATATATAAGGCGGGGCGCCGCGGCGCGCTTCGGCAGTGGTGTCGGGCGGCTCGCGGGCGCGGCGCCGTTACTCGCGGTTGGGCAGCGGCGCAGGCGGCGGCGGCGGGCGGCTCAGCGCGCAGCGCACACGGCGCCTCGGCGGAGCGGCAGCAGCGGCGGCAGCAGCGGAGACCCCGGCGTCGCAGCCCCTGCGCTGGTGCAGCCCCTCTCGCTCGCGCGCCTCCTCCCTCGCTCGCGTCATGGTAGGTCGGGAGCGGCTCCCGCCGGTGAGGCGGCGCCGGCCGCGGGTCCCCCAAATGTCCGGTTCGGCTCGGTTTCTCCCCGGGGGGCGGGGGCTCCCCTTCCCCGGGGGCTCCGCGCCCCGCGGCCGGGAAGGACGCGCCCGGGGCCCGCATCCGGGCGTCCGGGCCGGGGCGCCGCGCTGAAAGGCGGCCCCTGGGCGCGGGCCGCGGCCGCCGGCCCCGCATCCCCCTCCCCCGCCCCGCGCCGCGGCATCCAGCGCGCCGCGCCCGGGCTGCCCGCAGCGCTGCGCCGCGGCCGGGCGGGGGGGCGGGCGGGGCCGGGCCCCGGGCCCCCCAGCCCCCGCCCGCGGAAGGGGCCGCCGCGCGGCCGGGAGAATGAATGGGCGGCGGCGCCGGTGGCGCACATCGCCGGGGCGGGGTGGGGGTCGCCGCCCGCGCCCGACCCGGCCGGGCGCCCCCCTCCGCGCGCTCCCTCCTCCTCGCGGGGGGCGCGGCGGGCGTGGGCTGGAAGGAAGGAGCCGGGGAAGGGTGGGTGGGGGCAGGAAGGCGCGGGGCGGGGGGCGGAGAGGGCGGAAGCGGCGGCCGGCCGCGCGGTGCCCGGGTGGGGCCCGGGGCTGTGGCCGCGGCGCGTGCCTCCCCGCCGGGCACCCCCGCCGGCCCCCTGCCCGGCGCGGCGGCCGGGGCGTGCGGGAGCCGGGGCGCGCCGGGGGGCCCCTTCCCGCGGGAGGCGCTCGGCTGCGCTAATTGGGGCGGGGGGGCGGGGGAGGAGGGAGCTGGCGCGCGGCGCGGTTTCCATTAGAGACGCAAAGTTTCTGCACCGGGAGGAGGCGGCGGCGCGGCGGGCTGGCTGCCTGGGGGAGCAGAAGCGGGTGGGAGGCGCGGGGCGGACCTGGCTCCCGCCCGCCGCGGGGCTCCGGAGGAAGTTGGGTGGGAGTCGGGGGTCCCCCGAGCCGGGGGAGGCGGCGCCCTCACCCCGGCACCGCCTCGCCCCTCTGCACCCAGCCCGCTCTCGGGGCGCGCACCCCTGCACGGCCCCTCGCCCCGTGTGTGGCCTCCCCCTGCCCCGCCTCTGCCGCGTCCCGGCCCTCCGGGAGATGCCCTCCACGTTCCCGCGCCCTCCGCAGCCTGCTGGCCGGCCAGATGCACCCCTGCGCCCCTGGGCGTGCGCCACGGCCCCCTCCTCCCCGGCCGGCGGGGCTGAGATCACGCAGCATCTTCGGCTTGGCGGGGTGGGGAGATGGCCCCCGGCAGGTTCAGAGCACCTTGACCCCAGAGATGATTTTTCTTTGGAGGAGGGGGATTGTAGTCTTCCGCGAGCATGGCTGATACCCTCAAGGAGTAAGGAGTTTTGCAGGGAGGTGGGACTGTTCTCCCCCATAAGGTGACAGTTTTTCTTGCGAGGTGTGGCAGCGCTTCCTGTTGTACAAGACAGACATTGCCCTGGCGTTACATAAATCATCTTGTCTTCACTTGAATAAAGCAAACCATCTTGCAGTGACTGGGTTGGAAAGGTGGGGCGAGCCAGTTCTAATTTGAAAGGATAAACCCCCACCCCTTCCAAATCAATATATTGGCGCACCAGTCATTCTTTTTGTGAAAGTTTTAAGAGTTAGGTTAACTTAATGCCGTCAGCTTTCTGTAGAACTTATTTTGTATTTGGCTTCATTAGGCGTCCTTCATTAAAATCAAAATGCACATTAGCTCTTTGAGATCTCAATTCCCCTGACTGGAGGCACAGCCTCTGTGTTGCAGAGACCAAATAATGCAAGTGAGAATTACCTTCGTGGTCATTACCCTCTCCCGCAAAGTGTTTATTGCCTACAGCTCTTATGTCATCCTTAAAGTGGGGAGAGTAAATATTTTCCAGCAAAGTTACTCAGAATAGAGAGGTTGTAGTCTCATAATTGTGTGGTTTTCTGTCTGCTTAATTTTTGCAATTTTGGTAACAGCTTCGTTGGGTGTTTTTTCCCCCCTAGCTTCTGAATCATAGGATAATTTGACAGAGGGCATCAGCCATTGTAATGGGTAGGCTTCTAACAAAAAATGGCCTAATTTAAATGATTGGAAAGCATTTATTACATGGAAATGGGAGTTGGTGGGGTAACCGATTGCTGTATATTTATTTTTACCACTTAATTATATCTCATAAAATGGATATAAAAGCCTGTTAATCCAATCACTGCCATTATGTAATGCCAGTGTGGAGATTTGGAGCCCCCACAGCAATGCGCAAGGTGCGCTAAAAGCCTGCCCCTGGACACGGTCCTGGCTGCTGTCAGGCCGGGTCCCTTTTTGGATGGAGGTAGGGACTGCAGAGTCAGTGGCGCAGTAGGTGGCGCTCTCCTTTCTCTGCCTGCTGTGGCTGCAGCCCTTGCCGTGGGGCCTTGTGCCACTAGAGGAGCCATTTTTCAAATTATGAACTGACCCTTCTGCTTAAAGCTAAAGGCACACAGCCACAGGCCCAGAAAGGAAAGTATGGAGCAAGAAGTCACTTCCTTGTCTTCTTTTGTTTCTAAAACGGCATAAAGGGTGCCCTTTTCTAAGTGTTTTCATTAAACGACAATGGAAAGTTTTGAAGCAGTTGATACATTTTTTTAAGATTGCTTTTTTGAAAGACCATTTATTCAAAGTATAATTGGGAAAGCTATGTTGCTCTCTGTGGAGCTGTTGTGGATTGAATTGTAACCTCTTCTTTCTCCATGTAGGCTGATCAGCTGACCGAAGAGCAGATTGCTGGTAAGTTGAAGACTTCTAGGGGTCCCCTGTGGACCAGAGCTCTGCATGACTTAGTGTTTGGTCAGTCCTCTGTCCCCTCCAGCTTCTGAGCAGTTTTCTAAGAATTTATTTAAATGAGAATAATATGCAGAAATACTTGAGTCAGGTGTTCCTCCTTGCCAGTATTTTGGAGCTGATACTGTGGAAAGAAGAGGAACCAAGAATCCCTACTTGTTATGCTCTGTGTGAGAGGCTTTGCATATAATGAGATTGCTCTGTGCCTGCTACTCAAAAGCATGCTTTAGAATTCTTATGCCATAGGTTTTGTAATCCACCATAAAAGATTTGGCTCAGGATTCTATAATAAATAGGAATAGGTGAAAATAAGTGTTCAGATTATTAAAATAACTGGGAAATGAGTTACTAATTTAGGTTTTAGTTATTTTTAAATGAAAAAATTTTTTAAACATCCTTGTTTATTTTTTGTTTTAATTTTTTTTTTTTTGAGGTGGTTTCGCTTTAGGAAACCAGAAATGCCTTTGAAATATTCCAGGTACCGTGTGGTGAACACATTGGTTGCCTGGAAAGGTACATTTATAGTAACCTTTTCATGTTGCTGTGAAACAAGGTGTTCTTCCGCTGTAGAATCTAGCAGGAAGGAACCTTAAGGGAACATGTGGACTGATTGTCACTGGTCAGATTGGACTTAGGACTGATGTAAGCGTGTTCCAGCTTAGCTTTCTTTAAAAATGTGAGAATATTGTGGTTTTATGGAACTGGTTACCAGGAACAGTGTTTGCTTTCTGTACGAATTCCAGTCCAGCAGACTATTGTCTTTATTTCAGCAGATACAGACCAGGCTGTTACTGATAACCTGTCCAACTTGGGTGGCTTGCTTTGGCAAGCCCCAGGGAAGTGTGTGCTGGGGCTTGGTGAGAAAGACATTCATTCTAAGAGGTAAACTTTTGTTTTCAGAATTCAAGGAAGCTTTCTCCCTATTTGACAAAGATGGTGATGGCACCATCACAACAAAGGAACTTGGAACTGTCATGAGGTCACTGGGTCAGAACCCAACAGAAGCTGAATTGCAGGATATGATCAACGAAGTGGATGCTGATGGTAAGGACTTCAGAACTGAGTGAGCACCAGCGTTGTGTAATTCAAGTTCAGACATGTTACCAGATTGTCTTTCAGGTCCCCAGAGCAGAGCAGACGTGCCGTGATCATCTTTCTGTGGTTGCCTTAGGGCCATTGACAATTAAAATGGGAGGCTGTAGGCCTGCCTTTCGTCCTGCTCACTGTCTAGAACATTTCCTGGATAGGATCACTAGATTGTTCCTTTCAACTTGCTGTGACCTACAGCTCAATCTTTTATCAACTGGCCTGTGAGTCTGTATTGAGTCCTGTGGGGAGAGAAAAGTAAATAGTCTGAGAGGTTTATTTTGCCTCTTGAGAGGGGGGGAAAACTCCAAGTGAAGTAGGTGAAGAGCGTGCTTAGATGTTTGTGTGAGTTGAGAACAGTGTGAGCTGCAGATGTGTTTATTGAAGAGCTCTTTGAGGATAATGCAAGGGTTGGAGATGGAGGGTACATGAAGACTGTAGGGAATAGATCTGCAGAACCCAAAGGAGGGGAAGATGCATGAGGTCTGAAACCCCAGAGAAGACAGTAACCCCTGTAGTAGCTGGCCGTGTTCAGTCATCCAGTCCTCTGGGCTCTGGCTTAATGTACAGTGAACCTTTTATTGCACATATCCAGCTGTGAGTAGTCTTTGAGCGCACTCTGTCCCACAGCATGTATTTTGGAGACCATGTATGTATGTATGTATATGCTTAGATATACACCATAGAACATAGCAAGTCTTAAAAAGGTGAGTTAAAGAATAAATGGTTTGGATTTAGGCTACTTTCTTTATGCTTGACTTAGGTAGCCATTTAAAAACCAAGGTTATAGAGCAGATTTACCTTTGGTTACATACATTTAGAAGCTTGGGTTTTGGTTGAGCTTTCAAACTGTCAACCCATTTGAGCTACTTTTAAAGATTGTTTTCATCCTTGTATTGGAAAAAAAGATAGTCCATCGCGCTCTCTAGTCTGACTCCTACCTACGATGAACCGCATCTGGGAACATGGGATGACTCCCTCCTGTTTTGTGTAAACCCTGGGAAACTGGATTGGGGACTGGCCAAGTGTGCTAGGTCCTCGGCTTATGTGGGGCAAGGAGAGGGGAGAAGTCATCCCAGGCCACAGGCTCGAGTGTTTGCAGTGTAGAAATAAGATGGTGCCATGCCCGTTGTCTCTGCAAACTTGTGAGATAGCGCTGCTAGGACTTTGTTCTGTGTGAATGTTAATAATTTAACATTTTGGAGCCCTAAAGGACTAGAAGGGATCGTGGAATTATTCTGATGGAAAGGAACTTGTGAAATGGATAACTTAACCTAGGGCTTTTTTTCTAATTAATTTTTCCATTTAATTCAAATTACACAGTTTTTATCTGTTGGCTTGCCTTTGGGGGTGCTCATCTCTTAGTTTTGGAGGAGGAGGAGTTTGGAAGACTGACTATAGAGCAGATTCTTCTGATACAGTTTTCTAAATGCTAATGGAGCTGTGAGAATGCTTCAGAGCCTTGCCCTGAAGGGAAATAAAGATACTGAGTTGGGGAGAAAATGATTTGGAAAGTCATCATAACGTGACTGAGAAATGTCCCTTGGAGAAGACACAGCAGAATCAGTTTTTCCCTTTACAGTACTTTTCTCCCCTAACAATCTTCTGTACTCTAAGCTTGGTGACCCAAATCCAGGCCTTCACCAGCATCGTGAGCCAAGGCACAGGTAGGGCCCGGTGCTGGCTCTGCCCCTGTCCCAGGGTAGGCGGGCTTCACCGTGGCCCTGCTTCCCTGGGGAGTGGAAGCTGCAGTTGTGTGTCCCATGCTCATTTCTTGACTTGTCGGCCTCCTCTACTGTCAGGAATCCAGGTGTGCTGTCCCGGGCCCTGGTTATTAGTTTGAATGTGGTGAACTTTTATGAAATTGCCCTATGAAGTATTTGAGCAGTTTAGAACTACAAATGGTTCAGCCTAATAAAAATATTTGGCTGTGTGTCCCAGTGCGTTCTTACAGTTCTGTACCTTAGTTCTGAGAGGACTAGCAGAGTAGTGTCGCTGGAGCGCTTATTTTATGTGAGCTTTCTGTTTTTAATTTGAGGTAACGGCACCATTGACTTCCCAGAGTTTTTGACTATGATGGCTAGAAAAATGAAAGATACAGACAGCGAAGAAGAAATCCGTGAGGCATTCCGAGTCTTTGACAAGGTAATCTTGTGTTTGCAGATGGGGCCTAAGTGGGATTTCTTGGGCTGTTACCTGAAAGCTGGAACAATCTTCTAGTTAGAACACCTACCTAAATGCTCAGCCTCGGAAATCTCCCTTTCAAAAAACTCCCTAATTCTCTACCTTATCGGGTGAGGGGACCACATTTTACATAGTGGAGCAGTTTTGAACCAAGTTTTTTGATCGTTACTTTCAATTTCTTTTATATGTTAGTTTCAGTTTCTTTCGATGAAATACCTTCCCCCCACATTTTCTGCTGACGGCTTGTAGTCAGTGGGTAGAAGTGGGAACTGGAGATCAGAGCATTGTTGACGTGGGCAGCGTTGGCAGTAACTTGAGAAGGTATAATTAAGTGAAAGACCTACTTGCCCACACTGAAGCACTAGCAACCCCCGTCAGTAACAATTGCTGAATGTTCACAGGATGGCAACGGTTACATCAGTGCGGCAGAGCTACGTCACGTCATGACAAACTTAGGGGAAAAACTAACAGATGAAGAAGTAGATGAAATGATCAGAGAAGCAGATATTGATGGGGATGGACAAGTCAACTATGAAGGTAAGCGGTTTCTTCCGCTCTCAGTAGGCTGCCCTTTAGGCGCTCACACCAGCTTCGCTCGGTGGTCGCTGGTTTCTCTTCATGCAGAGTAGAGATGATGTGTCCATTAAAGCTGCCTTTGAAGATAACCCAAAGTTATGATTATTTGTCTTTTCAGAATTCGTACAGATGATGACTGCAAAATGAAGACCTTCTTTCAACTCCTTTTTCCCCCCTCTAGAAGAATCAAATTGAATCTTTTACTTACCTCTTGCAAAAAAAAAAAAAAAGTTCATTTACTCATTCTGTTTCTATATAGCAAAACTGAATGTCAAAAGTACCTTCTGTCCACACACACAAAAAATCTGCATGTATTGGTTGGTGGTCCTGTCCCCTAAAGATCCAGCTACACATCAGTTTTACAGTATAAATACTTGTACTACCTTAACGATAAGGAAGCACTTAGTGGATCCTTGCAGCTCCATTTGCTAACGATGACCACACCGTTTGGGCTGGCCAGTTTTTCATGCATGCAGCTTGACAATTGAGCACAGTCAGGCATTTGTATTAAAAACGAAAAATGAAAAAACAAATTCAAAACCTATTCAAATAGGTTCTAGTTCAATTTGTTAGTATAAATGGTCACAGCTGGTTTATTGAAAACACATTTCAGATTGGTTTTCCTCAGGAGTCTATGTGGGAGAATGGGCAAAGGATGAAGCGGGTACATGTAGCCCCACTGGCGGCATGGTCCTCTCGTACTTTTGAGCGCCCCACCTGTGGTGGCACGCCCACTGTTGGTTTAGCCTTGTCTGCATTGTACTAGAGCAAAATGGGTGTCAGGCCGTCACCATTCACACAAATTTAAAAAAAAAAAAAACAAAAAAAAACTTTGTCAAGGGAGCATCTTTGGACTCTCTGTTTTTAAAACCTCCTGAAACTTGACTTGGAGCCGGCAGAGTAGGCGGTGGCTGTGGACTTCAGCACAACCATCAACGTTGCTGTTCGAGAAATTACAATTTACGTCCATTCCAAGTTGTAAATGCTAGTCCTTTTTTTTTTTTTCCAATAAAAAAACCATTAACTTAAAGCGGTGTTAAATGCTTTGTAAAGCTGAGATCTAAATGGGGACAAGGCAGTTGGAGGGGAGACCAGTGCACTTTAAATGCCCCCCACCCCCAGCATTGGGTTTCCCTCCTTCCCGACATCCCAGCGCCAACCTATGAGCCTGAGACCTTGCCTAAAACCAAGCAGATACTGATGGCTTCACCATATTTATGGACATGTAGGTCTACTTGTACTTCCACTGGGGGGAGGGGAGAGGTGAATCATGGTAACTTAACGATTATTCAGGCAGTAGAGTTCTAACTGAAGGAAAAAACCTCTTTCAAGCATGTATTTAGGGGATCTTCTCAATTGTGCTGCTGATTACATGTTCTGTGTAACTACTTGAGACCATCTGTGCAAGAGACATGATTTTGTGTGTAACTCAATCCTCGCTGTGTGTGATAGAAGCAGTAGTCACTTTCTCAGCCACTCTCTCCGTGCCTGAAAGACACTACCAGTCACCTTTTGGTTCAAGATTTTTAATTTATTTTACTTAACCTTTCCCTTTTTTTTTTTTTTTCTTTTTTCCTTAGTTGACTCAACTTTGCTTTCTGTCCCCCAGGTATCACTCATGCTAGCCCCCACCTTGAAAGGAAAACTCCAAACCAGAGTGAATTTTGTATCTAATTTTAAAACAGTGAACCAAAACTAGGAGCTGAGGATACTGGTCTTTGCAGTGGGATTGGTATCCTTCAAAAGCCCCCCAAAGGTGTATTGTGTTTAGTACAGAGCTTCTTTTGAAATGAAGACTGATGTATATTTTTCCCCTGGTGGTAACTGGCTGTATCTTATTAGCAAGGAGATTTGGGTGTTCAGTGTGTGGGGGGAGGTTTTGATTTGCCAGGGAACAGGCAGGCTGCTAGCGAGGCGCTCTTGGCAGCCAAGCTGATGCAGTCAGGGCTCATTATATAGAGACCCTTGGCTTCTCCCTCTCCTACTCCTTGTCTTTCTGGCATTTTGCAGCTTGCTCGATCCCTGCTAGAAGGGCAGGTCAGAGCAGTGGAGAGGAGCCTGCCCATCTGCATCTGCTGCTGGTCCCGAGACTGGGTGGCTGGTGGAAGAGAGGTTGGCACCATGAACTAGGGTTGGCTTTTGTAACCTTGAATCTGGGAGGAATACCTTGGGGGTCTTTCTGGTGAGAGGGGGAGGGCCCAAGACTAGTGGTTCAAATAGGTTAATGACCTGGATGTTCCTTGCAGTGAGGTCAAATGGCCTGACTAGACCTGTCTGAGGCTTCTAGTCAATGACCTGGTTGATTCAGAGCGGGTTAGGGGTGATTTGACTGGTTTTTAAAACACTGCCTTCTCTCTTACCCTCTTTCCAAGTCTTTCAGGAAGCCTAGGTGGATTCCATTTTAGTGGTCCCACAGCTTTTCCTAAAAGACTACCTTTGAAACCAGATTCTTGTGTAGCCAGGATCCTGAGTGGGACCAGAAGCAGGTCCCCCAGGGAGTGCTGGAGTGCTGAGATCCAGTTGGGTGCAGGGGTGAAGCCCAGCCAACTGTAGCCTGTTTCCTCTGGCAGTGGAGGGGACTGTCAGCCCAGGGGTTGGTGTTGCCAGTCCCTGTGAGTCAGAGACGACGTAGCTGGATGTGGCAGCGGTACTCTCGAAGTTGGTTACACCTTCCTGTAAACTCTTGCCCCTACTTCTAACTGCTCTATAAATATATACATATATTTATATATATAAAGTGACTAGTTTAACTGGCATCCCGCTTGAGCCTGAGACTTGCCATAAAAAACTGCTGAGTACTTGGCAAACACTTTGATAGTTTTGTTCTCCATCTGTTTGGGGTAAGTGTGGAGCAAGGCAAATGTGTCTTGCTATTTCAGACAGGCTTCTGAAGCACTGTTGCCAAGGAAGGCTTTTTCTGATCTTTTGACAAATGAATTTTTGCACACACTTAATTGGTGTCTTTCGGCAACTGAAACACATCGGAAATTAGCTACTGTACATATTTTTATATTCTCTTTATAAAATGCATGTCTGACTGTACTTGTAACCACGTCGTAACGAGTGACCGTCCAGTAGGCCCAGCGCTGCTGTGGCCCCGCCCCCGAGCAGCCCATTAGTCCCTCAGCGTACTGGGAACTTCTTCCTAAGCAACGAATGTAAATTTGGTCAAGTCTGCTCTTTGTTCACTCGATTCTTTTAAAACTTTGGAATTAATTATTGTATATCCTAAATACATTTATCTTTTTGGCAGTGACTAGATTCCACGAATGTGTCTTAATCTATCCCTTCAGCTGGCAGTTACTATTTTTTTTTTAAAACCCTTGAAGTTGTCCTGTAGGAGACACAGATACTTTGCTGTCCGTAACCCTTGGAGTAAGAAGGTTGTGGCGTGGGGGGAGTGTGTTCGTTCTCCAAATCTATTACAGTGTGCATCCGACACGTCGCTTGCAAGGATGTGGTGGTAGTTTGTTACCAGAGTTACCCTTCACCGTGGCTATTTGAAAAGGAGATGTACTTGAATGTTTCTGTAAATCTTGAGATAAACTGTTTGGAGATTTAACCACCTCTCTGATGGGGGACCAACTCTATGGAAATTGTAAATAAGTTTTATTTATAAACCTGGCACTGTATTCAATAAACATTTCTGCAGCCCTCCATCTCTAACTGCGAACTGTGTAGGTTTTTAGCTTGTAGAGCTTTCAGTCCCCTGGGCTCGATGAACGAGATACACCCACCCTCCCCCCAGCTCCGGTGCAATCTGTGAGCTGAGGGGTCAGAACACTGAAGCCGCCTCCTCCCACCTACCCTAGACTTCCTAGTCAGGGTGTCACTAGCTGACATTTTAATACAATCAGATTACTCATGTCTGTGCTCCTTGATGCAGAAAATTTGTAAGATTTCCCTTTGTGTTAAAACAGTACACTTTACAAATAAGGTGAGGGCTCTGAATTAAGTAAGCACCCACCTCTGCCCCAGGGCACGAGCAAGGCAACTGAGGAAAACCGGTGGGTCACAACTTCCATTCAGTAGCTGGGACCTTCCAAGGCTTAACCGGACCCTGGCACCCAGACACCGTTCTCCAGGAGGAAGGGCCACCTCCTGACGCCACCTGTTTAAGAATCTTTTGCAGACTGCTTCATCCGTGTCCTTACCTGCGCTGCACAGAAGTGGTGAAGGGGGTTGAGAAGGGGAAGATCATGGGGTGGTGTGCCCCTGCTATGGCCTTACACTTGAGACCTATCTCCAGGGAGCATTTAAATAGAACCTCCTGAATGCAGGAGCTGAAGACAAGGATGCGGACACCACTCCGGGACAGCCCTCTGCTCTGAAACCAGGCCTGGCTTCTAGCTTTGGTCTTGTCTCCCTATGGTCAAGGGCAGGGCCCTTCTCTGAGCCTCAGTTTCCTCCCTGGTACAATAAGGTTATTGGGCGAGGTTCCTTCTACCTGTAACTTGCTAGGATTCTGGTCGAGCCAGCAAGGCATCTTTTGGTATTTAAGTGGAAATTGCAAAAAGTGGGAGGGAGAGTGGGAGCGTGTGTTCCTTGAGAGGACCTGAGCAAGCCCATAGTGGCTGCTCGGGTGGCATGGACGGCAGGCTCGCTAGTAAGACCCTGATACATTGGAATGTGGGTCATTGAGAAAGTGATCACTGAGTGACTTCCATCCAACCCCCGGGGCTGAAGCAGGAAGCCGGCACCACAGCCTGCAGGAGACGCAGCCTGCTGACTGACGGCATCCCTGGGTTTCTGAGCAGCTCCGGGAAAGAACACATACGTTTCCCATTTGAGCTGAACTTCCCTGCGGCCCTGGGGGCTGGAGCCCGGTGACTCAGTATGCCTTAGAAGGAAATCAGACTTGAGGGTTTTTTTATAGCTTGGTGCTTCTCTCCCACTGCCCTCAACCCTCTGCCAGGGAGTGGGAGGAGTTAGCGGGTGTTCCTGAACCCCAAGCAAAGCTGAGAGCTGCTGTCTGGCCTGCCGTCTTGCGGAGGACAACCTCGGAATCCGGGCTAGGGAAGAGGGGCAGCTTCCTGCAGGAGCCTTCTGTCCTGCCGTGAGCAGCGCCTTGGTCCCAGCGCATACCCTCATTCAGATAGCCTTTCCCGTGCTGCATTTGGAGGTTGTCTCTTTTACAAGATGAAAGGGAAAGTCTAGTCTTTTCCTCCAGTAAAATACTTTCTTGAGTATTTTGTTACATCACCATCCTTTTATCCTGCCTGTGCGTTACAGTTTGCTTTTAACCCAATCTTCTTTCCTCCCCCCTCTCTGAGCCTTAGTATACCCTTCCATTTGTGATTTTTTTTTTCCTAGTGACTTTTATAGTAGAAGATAGATTTTTCCCCCACACACAGTCTGAGCGGAGAGTCAAGATTTAAGACAATGGATTAAGAAAAATCATATAAAATATTTTTTATATTCAAAAGAACAGTTTTTTTTATAGAGCGAGAGAAGTATAAAGGACGCTTGCTGAGCCACAAGCAGGCAGAAAAGCTGCCTAGAAAACGATACTATTTTAGGTTAAAAGACTAGGTCATATATGGTAGGCCAAATTCTTTCCCAGCATGAGAATCCATATGTGGTCATTCCCAAACTCTGCTTTTCAAGTTCATTGCTTTATCAGGCAGCCTATCTGCATTTTATAAAAATATTTTCTGATACTAACAGAAATGCTGTTCATTGTATCACATTTGTGATAGATACTCAGTGACCCACTACTCTAAGAAATAGAGTTAATACTTTGTGTTAGAACATTCCCTATGGATGTGGAGATAATTGCCCAGATTGGGATCTACTTGCATGGTGGTTCTTTTAGTAAATATATTCTTCATTATATACAATTACACACTATATACAGATAAAATCTTTTCACTCCTTACATATTAACTTTTCTTGGAGTATAATTCATTCACCAAAAAATTCATCTTTTTAAAGTGTACAACTGGTTTTTGGTATATTTACAATATTGTGCAACCATCAACACTACAATTTTCGGGCACTTTTATCACCTCCAAAAGGACTCCTGCACCT